TAGACTATTTCCGGCTAATAGTATATCGTCTACATATAAGGATAATATGACAAAATTACCCTCAAACCGCTTAATGTAGACGCAGTGGTCTTCCTCTATCATTTGGAAGTCATATGAGGTTATTGCTTTGTGAAACCTCAAATACCACTGTCTGGATGACTGTTTCAATCCATAAATGGACCTTTTGAGTTTACAAACTTTATTTTCTTTTCCTTTTTCAATGAAACCTAATGGTTGTTCCATATAGATTTCTTCATCCAGATCACCATTCAGAAATGCGGTTTTTACATCCATCTGATGTAATTCTAGATCTAAACTGTTTACTATTGCCAGAATAAGTCTAATAGAATTGAAACGCACAACAGGTGAGAATGTATCTTCATAATCTATTCCTTCCTGTTGTGTGTACCCCTTTGCCACTAATCGAGCCTTGTATTTGTCAATTGATCCATCCACTTTTCTTTTAATTTTGAGAACCCACTTGTTCCCAATGGCTTTACGCCCTTTTGGAAGATCAACTAACACCCAAACTTGGTTCTTTTTCATTGAGTCCATTTCTTCTTCCATAGCTTTCATCCATTCATCTTTTCGCAGGACCTGACAAGGCTTCTCGTACAGAACGGGGCTCATCATCCCCTTCTGGAGTAACTAAGAGAGATTCGCCTTCTATTTGAAAGCGTCTTTTGGGAACACTTTCCCTGTTACTCCTTCTGACGGGAGCTATTTGCTTATCTTTCTTTCTTTGTTCAGGTCTTGGTGTTGACCTTTCTTGGCTCCCACTCAGATTGACACACCTAGACGATTCTGGTTTGTCAATTTGTTCTGTACTGTCTTGTTCCTGTGTCTCATAAAGAGAAACAGTACGGTCAACATCTCCTCTATTAGGAAATTCAGTCTCAATGAATGTGGCATCTCTTGATTCCATTTCAGTCACTGTTCCATCTTCGTTTTCACCTATGAAAACGTATCCTTTGATTGTTCAGAGTACCTTATGAAGATACATTTCTTTCCTCTAGGACCCAATTTCCCATGCTTGTGGGAATCATCATGAACATATGCTGCTGACCCCCAGGGTCTTAGGACACTTAGATCCTGTTTGCGTTTTGTCCATAATTCATAGGGTGTGGAAGCGACTGATTTTGAGGGCACACGGTTAAGTATGAAGGTTGCCGTTAACAAAGCATCACCCCAATATGAAATTGGTAGGTTTGCTTGAGCCATCATAGACCTAACCATGTCTAGAAGAGTTCTATTCCTCCTCTCAGCCACTCCATTCTGTTGTGGAGTGCCAGGGATAGTCAGTTGTCTAATTATCCCTTTTTCTTCACAGAGCTGTTTAAATTGATCAGATAAATATTCACGACCTCGATCAGTACGTAATGCTTTAATTTTACTGTCCATTTGATTCTCTACCTCATTTATGTATCGTCTAAAGCACTCAAGTGCTTCAGACTTATGCGAGATCAAATAGACATGACCATATCGTGAAAAATCGTCAATAAAGGTAATAAAATACCAAGCTCCGTGTCTCGCCCTCACACTCATCGGACCACAGATATCAGAATGGATTAATTGCAATGGATTTTCAGCTCTTGTTCCCTTACCGAAAGGTTTTCTAGTTGCCTTACCAGCTAGACAATTTTCACATAAGGACATTTCCATGTTAGGGATTGCGCCCAACATTCCTTCTTTTGCCAGTTTAATCATTCTATTTTGATTAATATGTCCTAGTCTAGCATGCCAGATATTCATATCAGGATTGCTTGAAGAAATAGCAAAACAATCATGAGCGTTAAAACCAAAAGCAAGATCCATAACAAAAAATTTCTGGAATCTGAATGCTGAACCATAAAATTCAGAGTTAAAGGAAATGTCTGCAACTTTATCATGAAAATAAACATTAAACCCAAAGTCTACTAAGCAAATAACAGAAATTAAATTCCGTCGGATGTCGGGAGCATGAAGCACATCATGGAGTATCAAGGTCTTTCCACCACGCAAAGCAAGCTTGCAGGTGCCAATGCCTCGAACCTCGATTCTCGCATTGTTCCCAACATAAAGCCACTTGCTTTGATACGGCAACCGACGGTATTCCACGAAGGATCCCCGATCCCTGCTTACGTGGTCTGTGGAGCCTGAGTCTATAATCCAAGAAGAAGAAACAGGTTCTGTTAGAAAAACAGTACTAGAAACATATGAAACATGTGAATTCACATAATTCACTAATACCTTTTCGCTTTCAGCCTGTTTGGAACAGTCACGTGCGAAATGGCCCATTTGTTGGCAGGCGAAGCATTTGACCTTCTTCAGGTCTAGCTTCTTCTTCCCGCCTTTCTTTCCCTTCTTCTTAAATTGTTTCTTGCCCTTTTTAAATTGAGGACCGCCCTTCTTCCCTTTCTTTTGGGGCTTCTTGCCCTTTTTGAAATTGGGCTTAGATTGGGAAGTACCAGCATCCTCAGTTAAATAAGTCTGTCCAGAGCTCTTGTAAGCCTCTAGACGTTCATCTTCCAGCTCCAGATGCTTAGCTACATCGTTAAAAGTGATGATGTTTTCATTGTGGGTTAGGTTGACTTTCATGTGCTCCCAACTTGCAGGGAGTGACCTGATGACAGCCTGCACTTGCTGCTCATCAGACAGATTATGTCCAGCTTCCTTCAGTTCCCGGATCATATTGGCCATCTCTCTCAGATGTTGCTTCATAGGATTGTTTGGCTTGAGCTTATAGGTATCGAACTTAATCGTCAACCTCCTAAGCTTGGTCGTAGAGACTCCGCCAAACTTATCCTTCAATGCTATCCACATGGCCTGTGCAGTTTTGTGCGACTCAAACTCACACATCAGGTCATCAGCCATGGAGCTCAAAAGCGTGATTCTTGCTATGCTATTCTTCTTTTTCCAGGTTAGATATGCCTCTTGGTCTCTCCTGTGCTGGTTTGTGTTGCCAGCCTCAGGTTCAACCATAGCAGTGGTGAGAGGCTCTATCGCATCCTGTTCCTCTAGGATATACTGGACCTTTCGGTGCCAGATGTCCCAGTTGTCCCCGTTAAGCTTTTCTCCCTTGTTCAATTCAGCAATTATGTTCTTGGTTGCCATTCTTAGTTCTGTGACAAATCTATCCCACATTAATCTATGTTCTCTTTAAAGAGAACCGAACCAAAGAACATTTCAGTTATATAGCACAATGAAGTATACAATGTAATGTGCCTATATTATCCTCGATCAGTAAATAATGAAATTACTAGATCCATGATCAGGAGAATACGTTTGTACCTCCCATCACACAGATACTAGCAACAATCATCATGTCCTATCAAGGATTTTATATAAGCACTTTAAAAAAATGTAACCTTTAGAAGTCTTATCTTCTAAAAGCTCCCACTTATAAAAGGCATACACATGATATTCACAAATAATCATACAACAATAATTCAAGTAATTTCATTAAATGAAATAACATACTTAGTCTGTTTACAATGCATGAAACCACAAATTCATGGTGAATACAAATATTACATCATTTGATATGAACATAAAGGTAATCAAGCATTACTTTTCTTAGGCTTCTAAGTTTGCGCGTTTTGTTCATAAAGGAGGACACTAGCTCTATGGCCCAAATCCAGTAAGACTTTCTTATGGGTTTGCCTTTAGGTCCGCCTCTAACTCTTATTGCTCTTATGTACTCCATTATGACTCTAAGGTAGAATTCTGTATTCTTATCGGTCATGTAATGGACGTAGCTAGCGAGCACACCATTGATGCCTTTTATGTTTGTCAATTTAGCTGCATCACTTTCAGCTATTCTCATAGCTAAAGCAGGGGTAGAGGGTTGATCCACCTCTTGCCTTCCTCTACTTCGGTTTTATTGGGAAGATCTAGCGAATCATTACAGACCAAATGAGGTTCGGTACGGAGGGGTTCGTGGGAAATAAAGATTCTGACTCAGGTCCAGAATCCATTAACTCCTCCGGGATTTCTTGAGGAACCTCTTCAGGGTCCTCTTCAGGATCCTCATCCTCTGGCTCATATTCTGGAACTGCATTATCCATGTATGAGTATTCCAATGAACCATCTTGGATATTTTCAGTGCTACTAGAAGCCTCTTGCTTCATTTTCACCTAGAACAAAATAATTTAAATTATTCTGAATATTCTGGAATTTATTTCCCCATGAAAATACCAGAAAATACACTGAAAATACTCACAAATAGATCCTTAATTGTCTCCAAAATTATCAAATTATATACCAAAATAAAGATCTTGATTTTAGGGATTTTTAGAGACAAACTGCACCTCAAACGGACCCTCCACGAGCCTACACGCGCCCCTAGAAGGAAAAATTAGCGAAAAACTGAATAAAATATTTTTTCCCACTCGCCCTGTCGACGCGTGTACTTCACGCGCCACCATGAAGCTTGCCGCCGGCGACACGCGCCGTGCCTGCGGCTTCCACGCGCCACCACCTGTCAGGTGGTGGTCCCCATGTGCCAAGGTAGGGTGCCACGTGGCAGAACGCGCCACGTGGCGCTGCTTGGTCCAATTTTTTTTTTAATTTTTTTTTTTGGGACAGCCTTTTTTTTTTATTATTAAAAGTACTTGGACCGGTTGGGTTTGGGTCCATTTCGGCCAAACCGGATCCCTTCACAATTTTTTTTTTTTGGTCTGGGCTGGATCCTACGTCCAGCCCAGTAAATATTTTTTTTTTTATAGGAGGGGCCAAAACGACGCCGTTTTGGCCCCTGGAGGTCACCTTCAACCTCCAGCCGGGTCGCCTTGACCCGGCTTCTGCAACCGGGTCAGGTCCGACGGACCCGTCGGACCCGATTTCTTCTCTCCTCCATATCTTCGCCGTCCGATGTCCGTTTTTAGCGTACTTTATATCATTTTCTTCATTTTTTCGAGCTCTACGCAATGGGATAATTTTTGAAACCAAAAAACTTGATTTTCTAGAGACCCAAAAACGAAAAACGTACGGCCGAACTGATATACTGCATGAAACGATTTTCATGGAGGCAGAGAAGCAACCCAATATGTCTAAACATAAATATAAGACACAAAAACTATCATACTGAAATTAAAATGGAGGATTTGCTTAATATCTGAGAGCAAATCACTTAAGGTGTACTGAAATGCCAAACCGAAAAATGCAGACGCAGAAGGACTCGGGCAGCCGAAGAAAAAAAATATCAACCTCGCTCTGATACCAATGAAGGATTACGGGCATACCTGGAGTCTACAATGAAGTCAGGTTGTCACGCGGAGGTCCGATCACGGTGACGGAGTCGGATCTGGGAGACACAGCAAATTACACCGGTGGGAGAGTTTTGGAGAGACTAAGAGAGGAGAGTCTGATTGTGAAGCCGGGGGAAAGAAAAACGCAAGTCACGTCCCATAAACTGATCCCTATCTATCAGTTATGTAACTCCCAAAAAACCGTCTCCTCTGCACAACCGTTCCCGCCTTTTGGCAAAATATATGAAAAGGCGAAAATTACAGTTAAAGACCCAAGAGTTTTACTATTTACACTGGAGTCCCAAATGATAAATGGGCTTGGGTCCAATCCACCAAGGGTGGACTGGCCCATTTTCTTACATACACAAATAGCAGAGCACTCAGATATTATCGTGATACTAATACCAGACCCTGAACCGCGCGTGAAAGCTTGAATGATTTTTCAATTTCTTCCAAACAATGATTCTTTTCTTCTCTGGTCCATCCCTGACAAAAAAACCATTGAGCAATTTTTTTTTTTTTTTAACTATCTCCACTTGAATACCAAGTAAGCAACCAAGAAAAATTTCTTCAAGGTTTATACATACATCGATCACATGTCACCGCAATAAAAAAGACGTTCTTAATTACTCATCTTTTCCAGCTGCTTATATTAAATGCTTGTAAGCATGTTCATATAAATTGAGACAAAATTTCGCTCACATATTTATTTTCTATTTTGTAAATCACGAACTCACGATTAAGAAACTGCCACTAAACATCCTAAACAAGTGCTAACATTTTAACTAGTTCATGGTTTATTAATTGCAAAGGTTTCCTTTCAGCCTGTTACCTTAAAATGAGATTTTATTATGATCCCTTAATTTTATAAAATATTTTTTAATTTTAGGAAATTATTATATGGTCCAAAGGAAGGAATGTATTTATTAAAAAATCCTATAATAATTTAGCAACTTGCAATAACAACCTCCGATGCAAGAAACGACAATAGGTTCTAGTTTCTTATATGTCATTAAGACTTTTTGATAATTACATTCCTTTTTTGAGACCTCACGACAATACTCCATTTTAATCTTCTAATCCTAAAACGGTCAATTTCACCGAAAAATGTTAGATATTGAAATTTTTTAAATATTAGCAAAACATTCACAAATACTAACTTATTAATTTTTTTTTTTCAAAACAACAATGACAAATACAGAAAACCATCGTTCAAGATTAACGGCCACTTTATATAATTTAAAAATAAATCGAAATCTTATACAAAACTTTTGTCGTCGTTATAATCATAATATGATGAATTAGTAGTGTGTGGACGCCTAAAAATATAATATAATATTAAATATACAAAAGCAAAATAGAAAAAGAATATTTTCCAAGGATCACTTCGGAATTTTAATTGAAAAAAGAAAAAAGATTGATAACAAGTAACCATAAAGATATGAGCCTTTCCGATTTCAAAATTTTTAAGATGATTTTTAAATAAAATGGATGGATATTAATCTATTACACTGATTTTTGAGCAATTGGATCCGATCTTTATCAGTTGTTTTGTTAGATGATTTTTGAGCCAACTAAACCAAATCAAGAACTAGCGAAGCCGATCTGATTCAATTTTCATTACCTTGCAGTTTAAGAAGCCAAATAAATCAGCTTTTGTACTTAAAAGACTCCATTCTGTGTCCTTTTTTTTTTGGGTTGTCACACAGTGAACTCCACACAACAGAAATCTATAGACAATAGAACAACAAACTATTGCAATTGTCACAAAAGACTTAATTATGGGTAAGCAGGTAAAGATTCATGATACAAGAAACTCACTTCTGCAACTTTATTCAACTTGTCCCTCACATTCTGTAACAGCTGGGAAATCTGACCTTCCCATTTATAGAACTCCAACACCTTGTTGTTAGGTATCTTCTCAGCTACCTGCAGATTAGAACTAAAAACTAAGAAAATGGAATAACGCCATGACTCCTGAGTATAGAAGGATAAACTAGCATTGACTATAAAATCACTGAAACAAAAACCTAAAACAGTTGAGTTCCGTTATTATTGCTGAATAGCAAGTCCTTCTTAATAACACAGAGATGAATTGGGAATTTCATTGTTGCAATCTTTCACACTAAGTTGGGTTAACCAAGCACGGTAATGATCCAAAGAGATGAAAAAGAAAGGAAACTGATATGAACTTCCCCAAACCCAGTCACGAAGGCGTCACTAGTTTCTTTTGATTTCTGATTTTCTTTGCATACATGGCTTTCCTTTATATATGGAAAAATAGATAATTGCAAATAAAATAAATAACAGCTTTTAGTTTCGAAACTTGTAGCTAACTCTAAGAAATTTTCCACCAGACTCGCTCCCACTAACGTTCAGCATTTAAATATTAAACCCACATTGCACAGTACTGTTCACGCATGCGAGTTACTGTTCACGTGCATTCAGTTACTATTCACGTGACTTGGTGTAGTAAAGATCCTCCTGGATCAAGGGTCCCCTTTCAACAAGGAACCACACCTGTGGGTTCTCATATTAGAATTGGAGGTGTGGAAATTGGGTTTGACCAACTTAACGTGTGTACCATTTTGCAGCACTTGGCTGTTTACCCTTCTGTCCTACTCGAAACGATTCTGTTGTTCCACGCCGCGTTGTAGTTGTCTTCCTCTCCAAGATGACATCTTCACTTAAAGGGGTCTCCCTCTGATACACTAATCTTCCATAGAAGGTAGAGTTTCTCCAGGCTCCTCGTCCGATCCATCATAGAGGGCTCAAAGAGTTCAAGATACTCAACGTTAACCACTGAATATATATCCATATACAGAGGAAGCTCAAGTCTGCAAGCATTGTCTCCAATCTTCTACAACACTTTGAATGGTCCATAACGAATGGGTTTGAGCTTTTTTCCTTCACCTTTGAGATGATCTTTGCTTAGATGAAGCCAAACTAAGTCCCTTTCTTGGAAGTCGGCTTTAACTCGGTGCCGATCATGTCGCATCTTATATTTTTGTTGAGCTTTTTGCAAATTATTTGCCACCTCCTTATGTAGTCGTTGAATCCCTTCCAAGAATCGTTGTGCCTTCTCCTGAACTTTCTCCTCCTTAGTGCCTTGGACCGATGGCCGAATATTAAACTCCAAGTCAAACGGGCTTTGCGGTTAGAAACCCAAACATACTTCGAAAGGAGACTTCTCTGTGGAACTATGTATGGCTCGATTGAAGGCAAACTGCAGATATGGGATACTCTCATCCCATGTTCTTGGGTGCCGTGAGTTGTAGCCCCTCAACAAATGGACAACCGTACGATTGACTACTTCGGTTTGGCCGTCTGTTTGCGGATGGAAAGCGGTACTCCGTTTAAGCCTCGTATCCATCATCATCCATAAGGATTGCCAAAAGTGACTATGAATCGGCTATCACGGTTAGATATGATAGAACTAGGTAGTCCAAAATGCACCCAGACATGTTGGAAGAAAGTTCGTGCTGCTTCTTCTCCCGTGATCGTCTTCTTACATGGTATGAGTATCACCATTTTTGAAAACCAATCAACTACCACAAACAAGTAATCATTACCATGACGTGTCTTTGGGAGCCCACCAAGAAAATCCATAGATATGCTTTCCCACGGATGAGAAGGAACGGGTAAAGGTGTATACAAATCCAAATTTCGATTTGCAGGCTTGGAGGTACTGCATAGAACACAACCCTTCACAAAATGGGTTACATCATATTGCATGTGTGGCCAAAAAACATAACGTTAGAGGTTTTGCAATGTTTTTGCTACTCCAAAATGTCCTGCCACTTTAGAAGCATGTGCCTCACGTATCCAGCATACTCGTTTAGCTTCCCTTGGGACACATAGAAGCGTTCCTTTATAAAGAAGTCCACCCTATAACAGGAACTCAGATGGCTTTCCAGCTACAAGATTGGCTAGTACTTCTTGAAAATAAGGATCATCGGTGTACCAACTTGCATATTCTCTATGTAAAGAAGGTTCAATCTGCATAAAAGTAGACGGGCAAATAGAAGCTATCGGAGGACGAGATAGCATATCAGCAAGTTTGTTATGAACCCCCTTCTTGTATTTGATTATCAAGTTAAATTGCTGCAAGTAAGTCATCCACTTTATATGACATGCTTGTTGTAACTTAGATTTAACCTGCAAGTATTGGAGAGGGTGGTGGTCCGTGTGCACAATGGTCTCCTTGTCGAGGAGGTAAACTCACCAATGCTTCACAGCTTGATGCATGGAAAGAAGTTCTATGTCATATGTTGGGTAATTCTTTTAGGATCCCTAAAACAACTCTGAATGATACGCTATAGGACGGCCTTCTTGTAGTAAGACAGCACCCATAGCATACCCCGAAGCATCTGTCTCCAGTTCAAACGGCCTCTGCAAATTAGGCAAGGCTAAAACAGGCACCTGGCATATCTTCCTTTTCAACAAGAGAAACGTGTCCTTATGTTTCGAGGTCCATTCAAACTTTTGGTTAACCTTCGTTAGTGCATGTAATGGAGAAGCCAAACACTACCAGAAAAAAGGCTTTTAACGGCGGTTTTGAAGGCGTAGTTGTTAAAGGCGACGTTGAAAGGCAAGGAAAACACGGCGGTTTTTAACCGCCGTGGAAAGTCGAATTTCCACGGCAGTTAACTATAGAACCGCCGTGGAAAAGGGTTTTAACGGCGGTTATATGTATAACCGCCGTTAAAATTTTTTTTTTTTTTAAAATTCTGCGAAATTTTCGTGTTTACCACCCTGCAGTTTACAGCTCTAAACAAATGTAGGCAGTGCAGATCACGCAGAACAAGATCAATTAGCTAGTTAATATACAGCAATGAAATTTTTTTTTACACAATTCCAAAATAGGGAAACCGGCCAACATAATAGAACTAAGTGGTAACCAAGGAACACGTATTGGCTAGCTAGGTCCAACAATTCTGAAATAGAAGTAACTACTTCTTTGTACAATGGAAATCATGAACAATATAAGAGGGAACCGAGAGAAAGCATCTAACAATGAATTTTTTGACAAATAACCTATCTATTTGGAAAGCTAAATTTCAATTTTTTCTACCAATGTTGTTGACAAAGTGTCTCTCATCAAGTTGATGTCATCCATGAGATATGGTGCAGTATTTTGAAATATCTGTTAATCAAAAATAACATAGTAAACTTAGTCAAAAATGTGAAATAAATTGAAGAACGTCATGCAACGTAACTCATCTTTACCTCGTTTAATTTCTCAGTCGTTCCTGTCTCAATTATGTCATTCATGTAGCGGATGACATAATATCCACACTCAACATGTCCTTGTTGACAACGATACTTAAAAAATAAGATATAAAATTGAATATTAGACATTATTGATTATAAACATTAACTTTAATTCATCAAAAAATGTTTAAAAGTTAGTTCAAAACAACATATACCTGTGGAAGAATCCATGTTGGTGCTTGTCTATTTTGTTTAATCGCCACGACATTAAAACTATGAAAAGCCCTATCAACATTATAAGAGAAAATGATATTAGAGCATGCTTGTATAAACTTCACAAGTAATAAATATATAAATAAAAACTAACGTGTCGATGACATCTTTGGTTTCTTCGGATGGACTTCCACAGAGTGAATCGAACCAGTAAACTTTGTTGTCAAAAGGGGCACAAACAATTAGAGTCCAATGATAACTGCAAAAGGCAAACCATGTTAATTATAACCCGACACATACAACTTGTATATCTCAAATACAATAATACACTTACCCTTCCACGTAAGGTGCAAAATATATTTGCTTTTTGGTCTGACTCATTACGGTCATAATGTAGATTGACCTTGCTTCCACAGTATTAAATTCTTTCTGCACCCTTTGAGGACACATAAAGCCATATGTTCTTTCAAGTCCTCCGTTTCGACAGATTTGATTAAAATGCCTGTTGTTCAAGTAAAAAACATTAGGACATGCATGAAGTATAATATGTAATAAGAAAATGATATTGTAACTTACAAAATAGCAAGCTGCATGAAGGCTATATCAAGCTCCTCAAAGTTGAGGAACTGAACGAGGTCCCTCTTGTCAATGGTGAAGTCGTATGTTATATCTGAACCCACAACCCCCAACGGCATCTTGAAAGTCACAGGCTTATCCATGTTTGGCACTATGGAATGAAGAACCTCCAAACTGGAATACATAAGCGCAACATCACTAGGAAGAGGCAAGAGTACAGGATCAGATGATGCGCTCGTTGTGGCCTTCTTTGCTGCCGCCTTCTTCACTATTGGCTTTGTAATAAGTCTCTTTGGCCACAAAATGAAATGTCCTTTAGCTTGGGCCAAGAGTCGAACCTCATCAGTAGGATTAGGCACTGGTGTACCCCCCTGACCACGAACAATCCTCTCCACTGTCACCCTTGCTTGATTGCTCGGAATTTTGTTGCCGTGAATCGTTGTGCCCATGAATGCTCGACCATTAGCAACATGAACAGGTGAATTTTCATAATCCACATAGAGAGAACACGGCATCCCATTGTCTTCGACAGGGTCAGGGCTAGGGTCAGGGTCAGACACTGTCAGTGGCACAGTCTGATTATTACTGCCCTTTCCGCTTTTTATCACAGGTGAACCCTGAAACATAATATGAAATTAGTTAAGAAACATTAAATAAGTTTAAATGGATCAAATGAATCTTTAGAAGATTTAAAAAGATGTGTGATTATTACCTGGGAAGGTTCAGATACTCGGGGCATCTGGAATCCGCTCGTACCCATCATCATCAAAGTCTGTTGAAACTTGGCATCGAATTCATCACGTATCTTTTGCATCTCTGCCATGTGTTGTTGACTTAGTTCAGCTCGAACTCTCTCTGTTTCTTCTTGTAGTCGTTGGTCGAGCTCCTCTTTAGATACCATGTTAGCGGAGGATGATCTGGTGCTT